CCACACACACACACAGCCGTTGTCGAGAAGGACTTGACCTCGTCGTGACTGCATCAGGCGAGTGTATCTTCCCGTGTTCTCGATGGAGATACATTATCATTTTGCACATCTGTTGAATGGTGCTGCGAGACCCTAAAACATGCCAAACATGGAAACCGCTTTCAGGGGCTCGCTCCACTGCTCAACAATCGATACGTATCTGACACATTTTGAATCCATTAGGACCACTTTCAGTGGCAGATTCTTTTAGAATGCTGTGCAGTGGAGCCATGCCCTAAAGTAGCCGTTCCTCTTTTGTCTGGCTCTGACAGTGGACGGTTACTTCAGGGACTCGTTCCACTGCACAGCTTTCTTTCTCCTTTTTTTGTTTTGTTTTTCATGTCCGATACAGCCATGATGAGGGCATCAGAAGCATCTGTTCCTCCAAGCACAACGCACCCTCATCATGACTGTATCGCGCGTCAAAGATAGGAAAATACATTCCGGGACACAGACACACACACACACACACACACACACACACACACACACAGAGTGTGGTTGCAATTCTTTTTTTCAGGGGCGGCTGTCATGTGTGGCCCTGATTTGTTTTGTTTCTTCGCGGCTTTATTTTTTTGAGGGGAGGGCTGGGTTGTGTGACCACACACCGCCAGTTCCAATTTTTTTCCTGGACCCCCATTTCCGGGGTTGCGGCACATCGCGATGTGGCGCATGCATGCGCATGCGCTGTGCGCCGCACGTGCGTGACCCAGCGCATCACGATACGCCACAGGTATGATCCTTTTATTTGAACGAATGCACGGAACCTGCAATCTCAGCACGTCGGCACTGAAGTGTTAAAGAGTCCCAGGAGGGGTTGAGTAGTTGGTCAATCCGGTCCAGATAGATTTCCCCTAGCCTAGCATCCCGTAGGGTGAATAGGCGTAGTCTGCCCGATAGCTTTGGGTCCAGTAGGCTATTTCGGTCCATTGCAGTCCAACCCCAGTCCGATGGAGTCACTCTGCAGCCCAGTGTTCCAGGTAGGCTGATGGATTTTACAGAAACGTCAAAGGCCGAGAGGTCCAAGCTGGCAAAGGTAGTGGGTTAACCAGGTCCACATGTCCAAGGGCTGGGAGCTGAATCAGCACACATAAAAGCACAGCAGCTGTTGCCATCAATCATTCCACTCGTTCTTGTGAAACTGCTGCTGCACTAAGCAGCGACCAGGTGACAAGTCCAGTTGATCTCTCTCTCTCTCTCTCTCTCTCTCTCTCTCTCTCTCTCTCTCTCTCTCTCTCTCTCTCTCTCTCTCTCTCTCTCTCTCTCTCTCTGCCTTTCTGTGATACTGAGAGCTAATGGCTACTCCACGATATGCACAGCGAGCTAGCTTGTCAAGGACTTTTTATGCAGATATTCTTACCGAAGGCAAATAACATGGACAAATTGAGAGCAGTTCAAATTTGAAAGAAAAATAAAAATAAAATGCCTCACTCTGCCTTTCTGTGATACTGAGAGCTAATGGCTACT